AGATGCTTGTTGCAAAGCCTGACCCGAGTTCCATCCTCAGGATCCACATGGTGGAAGGAAAGAAAAGCCTCCTGGAAGTTGTTCTTTGACTTCCACACAATGCCACCTGCCCTTCCCATGAATAAATAAATAAATAAATGTAATAAAAATTTAAAAAGGAGGGGCTGGAGAGAGCTCAGCAGTTAAGAGCCCTGGGTACTCTTGCAGAGGACCTGGGCTCGGTTTCAGTTCCATCCTCAGGATCCACATGGTGGAAGGAAAGAAAAGCCTCCTGGAAGTTGTTCTTTGACTTCCACACAATGCCACCTGCCCTTCCCATGAATAAATAAATAAATAAATGTAATAAAAATTTAAAAAGGAGGGGCTGGAGAGAGCTCAGCAGTTAAGAGCCCTGGGTACTCTTGCAGAGGACCTGGGCTCGGTTTCCAGCATTGACATGGTGGTTAACAAGCATCCGTAATTCCAGTTCCAGGGGATCTAATATCCTTTTCTGGCCTCGATGGGCATTACACACATGGTACACTTACATACATGGAGGCAAAATACTCATAAACATAGAATAAAAATATTAAAAAGGAAAAAATTTCAAACCAAACTGTAAGAAAATATGTGTTAAGTCAAATATATTGGAATTATCTTTCTTGGTCGAATAGTATATACCTAGGATAAACTTGACCATCAATTCTCCTGCCTTTACCTCCCAAGCACTAAAATTGCTGCTGTGTAATAACCTTCTGGATGTAGTGCCATGCCCAGTGAACTGAATTTTTTTCTTTAGAGACAGGGTCTCCCTGTAGTCCAACTGACCTGGAACTCTTTATGAAGAACGGGCTGACTTTGATCTCACAGAGATCCACCTGCCTCTACCTCCTGAGTGCTAGGATCCATCTTTTTTTTTTTTTTTTTTGAGATAGGGTGTCATGTATCCCAGGGCAGACTTGAACTCTCTATGCAGTGAAGGAGGACCTTAAACTACTGCTTCTGCCTCCCAAGTATTGGGATTATAGGTGATTACTCTCAGAGGTGTTAAGGGACGTGTCCACAATCCCCAAGCCACCAAGGTACCTCAGGTGTCGTTACTCAGGTGACTTCTACCTTGCTTTTAAATTTATTTATTTATTTATTTATTTATTTATTTATTTATTTATTTATTCATTCATTCATTCATTCATTCAATGTGTGTGTTCAGAGGACAACTTGCATTATGTTTGGTTGATTTATGTAGTGCTGAGGATCAAGTCCAATGCTTTGTGCATGCCAGACAAGCACTCTACCAAGTGAGCTGCATCTCCAGTCCATAAATGAACTATTATTAATATAAACTCTCCAGCTGGGCATGGTGTCACATGCTTTTAATACAAACACTCTGGAGGTAGAGGCAGAAGGCTCTCTAGGACATCGAGGTCAGCCTGGTTTACACAACAAGCTCCAGGCCAGCCAGAGCCACACAGTGAGACCCAGTCTCAAAACAAAACGAAACCAAACGAAACAAAACAAAAGGTAAGCTCTCCAACTTTGGGAAGCACCTGAGAGAGGAGAGCCAACCAAAGGTCCAGGAAAGAGGAGTAAGGTAGAGTAGATGCAGGGCCTTATTGTGGGGGAAAAGTCTAACTCTAGACAAAACTCAGAACATAATATTTCATTCCAGGTTGTGTAAACAAGCCTCTCGCTGAGCAGCAAATAAAGGCCCAGGTGCGGTGGTTCAAACGAGCACTTGGGAAGTGGAGGCAGGAGGATACGAATTTAAGGTTATCCTTATCTACATGAGTTCAAGGCCAGGCTGGTCTATATGAAACTACACCTCAAAATTTTTTTTTAAAAAAGATAACATAGTACTTTGCTCCACAGAGTTGCAAGGATCTAAAAATAAACTTTAGTGATAACTCTTTGCATACATCAGTTCATAGTTTTATAACAAATAAAAATACTGTTAGTAGGGGCTGAAGAGACGGCTCAGGGGTTAAGAGCACTGATTGTTCTTGCCCAGCACCCACATGGCGGCTAACAACCGTCCACAACTCAAGTTCCAGGGGATCCAATACCTTCTTCTGGCTTCCGCCGGCACTGACACGGGTGCACTTACATACATGTGTATGTAAGGCATGAGTGTTATGCACATAAAATGAAAATAAATAGGCATATAAACAAAATAAAATACTGTTAACAGGTGCAGCGCACAAATTGGAGCTTGGGGTTGAAAGGAGCGCGGATCTGCGCGTGCGCAGCAGTTGGGCGGGGCTATAACTCATCCCAAGGGCTGTCCCAGCCCCTTTTCCTTCTTCGTCCCACCCACTTCCGCGGGCACCCAACCGTGCGTCTCTTGCGTGCTGACGTCAGGTGCGTGCCCCTGCCCGGCAGCTGAGGAGGCCCCGCGCAGTGCTGCCAACGCCCCGGCGGAGAAGCTGAGGTGAGTGCGGGGCTCGAGCTTCCCCGCGGGAGCAGCTCCCGTACCGTTCCGTCCCGGTCGCGTGGTCGGTGGCATCCCTCGGTTCTCGTGGACACTAGAGGTCGGGGATTCCCAGGGCCTACACAGCGCGAGCGAGCGGGGGATGGAGGGAAGGAGGGAGCGCCGGGCTCGCGTGCGCCTGCGGCCCGGGGTTCGCAGGGGAATCGCGGCGGGGTCTTAGCGGCGGGGCAGCGCGGCCTGGGCGGGTGGGGAGCTGCGCGGCGGTCACACCCATTCCGCCGGCTCCCTTCCCCCTCCGGCCGCCGGGGCTGCGGGGTCGGTCCTCTGGGGCCGGGGGCGCGCGGAGGCTGGTGCCGGGCCGGGCGGGGCTCGGCTCCGGGGCCGGCGCTGCTTCTGCTTCGCGGCCTCGACTTCCTGCTTCCCGGCCGCCGCCGACATCTTGCGGGGGAGGGGAACGGAACTGCGGCCTCGGGTCCCGACCGGGGCGAGGCGGCTGCGCCCCTCGGCGCAGGGCATCCCCGCATCCGCACATCTCTGCATCCCCGTGGTCCTCCCGGGTCTCGTAGTCCTCCCGGGACTCCACCTACGGGGCCGGCCTCCCAGCCTAGTCTTTAGCTTCTCCAGCTCCGGCTGCTTCAGTTGTAACGCGCTTCGGGGACTCATTTAGCCGTGCTGGGCCGCCAGTTCCGTTCCTCGTTTACTAGGAGAAATTTTTCTTTGTTCGGGTCCCCACCCCCCTTTTCCTCCCCTCTTTAAGTCTAAGAGAAATGCAGTGTGGACGATTACGTCATCGCAGTATAAGGGGTGAGAATTTTAACTCCTGCAAGTCAGGGACTCACTAAATTAAGACAGCTTTAGTAGGTCACGACGCCCGCTTCCCAACACATCAGATTCAGACAGTTTAACTGTGTTCATGGCCCTCTCAAATACATCTGAAATACGGGAAGATTTATGCTCTCAGGCTTAGTTAGGTTTTGGGTTTGTTTTTTTTTTTGCCAGGGAATAGAGCGAAGGCAGCCATAACTTTAAAGGTCCTCTTGGCTGTCCTGGGTGAACGTACTTGTGGGAGCAGTTCTTTGCCACTATCTTTTCTGAAGTAAAGAACTTGTGTGGATTCATTGTGTGGTGGTAGTAAGGTTGTATTGAATAGAGTCAGTTTATTTTCACACCCAGTTCGTCTTTGCTAGAATTGCACCTTAGGGTTGCTTGCTTTAGGTTTAGTTTTGCCATTAGAAACGAGTTTTGGAATTTTTTTTTTTTTTTTTTTTTTTTGAGACTGTTTTACCTCTGTCAGGCCTTGAACTTGAAACTATCTTCCTGGCCCTACCTGGCTAGTGTTATGATTACAGGTGTGAGCTACCACACCTGGTCGAGTTTTGGATTTTTTTTTTTTTTTTGGTCTTTTTGAGACAGGGTCTCCCTGTAGCCCCAGCTGTCCTGGAACTAACTATGTAGACCAGGCTGGCCTTGACTCACAGAGATCCGCCTGCCTCTGCCTCCCGTGTGCTGGGATTAAAGGCGTGCGCCACCACGCCCGGCAAGTTTTGGATTTTTAACCCAAAAAATTTTCAGGCTTCTTGGATCATTGGGTTTATGTCCCATGACTATACAGTGCAGGAGTGTAGGAAAATAACATTGTAAAGTAAATGAGATCCAATTGTGTAATGTATCCTTACAAGGCTGCCTTATTTTTTAACAAGAACTTTTTCTATTGTTCATTTGTGTGGACAACCGAATTTTTTGTTAAGAAACTCTTAAATGGAGTGGTAGATTCAAATCAACTTTATGTAGTTTGTAGATGAATTTTTTGAAATAAAACATTTGTTAGCCGTAATATATTTTAGGAATGTAAAATTGGAATACTTTTATCTAGTATATTTTTAGTCTTCTAAATTTAAAAAGCTTTTATATGCACCAATTTGTGCTTTAAAAAAAATGTAACTAGTTTGGGCCAGAGAGATGGATCTCCAGAATCCAGGGTGGTAGGAGAGAACACTTCTCAAAGTTGTCCTCTGATCTCCACACTGGTACTGTGGCACGAGTGTACACCACTCAATCACACACACCAGTAATAAAATAAAAATTATAAATGTAGTTTGAATTTATAAGTTTTAGGCTGAGACAAGGAAATAAGAGATTGGTAATTAAGTATTAAATGAGCTCCTTTACAGTAATTTCTTCAAGACCTGAGGGATGTGGGATCTTCTGTTAACATTCCCTTAAGATGCTTTCTACTGTGAGCAACACCTGTGCTGGGTAAACACCCCCTCCTTAGGAATCTAAGCCTGTGTGTTACAGCCTAGAGTATATGCTGTTTAACCTCAGACTCAGTAAGCCCACCAAGACCAATTCATACATGTATACATTGTTGCTTTTTTTTTTTGGAGACAGGGTTTCACTGCAGCCTCTGCTGGCCTGGAACTGTGTAGAACAGGCTGGCCTTAAACTCAGAGAGATCTGCCCCTGGAAGTGCTGGGCATGGTGGCACTTCCAGGGTATTTGTATTTTGATCGTATGCACTTCCTGCTTCCTCTTCTGATCACCCCCCCTTCTCAATATGGTACCCTCCCATGTTCATGTCCTCCTTTCCTAATCTTAGGATCCTAATCTTAGGATCGATTAGAGAAGCAGTTCTAGTTATTTTATGATCTGTACCCTAATAACACTTTTTGATCCAAGAGCTGTTAAATTTGGAAAATTTTATTTATTTATATTTATTTTTTGGTCTTTTTGAGACAGGAACTCCCTGTAGCCCCAGCTGACTCTGAGCTCACTATGTAGACCAGGCTAGCTTTGAACTCACAGAGATCTGCCTACCTGTGCCTCCCAAGTAAATTTGGAAAATTTTAAAGTCTGCTTTGTCTTAGGGCTGGAGAGATGCTCAGTGGTTAACAGCACTGGTTGTTCTTGCAGAGGACCCTGGTTTAGTTCCCAGCACTCTACATGGTGGCTAACAACTGTTGGTAACTCCAGATCCATGGGATCAGATGCCTTCTCATACCCAAGGGCATTGCACACACATGGTGCACTTACATACATGCAGGCAAAACACTCAGAAAAAATTAAAAGTATATTTTGTTTGGGAGGGAGCAGTGATAGGTCTTGGAAGCACAAGTCAAATTGTGCTTTGAATTCTAGGAATACAATTTAAGTGCATTTTTCTTGTTTTAGGGTTTAAATGCATTTCTCTTGCTTTTTAAATAGAGGATAAGGTACTCAATTACTTATAGGCTACAAGATTTCTCATGGAGGGGAAGGAACAGTTAATGTTGTGTGCATTTGTCTGCTTTAAACAGCCCTCTATGAAAAAGGGCTCTGATCTTGGATTCTGTTATAATGCCTACTCAGTGTTGTTTTCCAAAACGTTTGCTGTCACTTTCCCTGGTTAGAATGTAACTTCTGTGAGCCAGGTTTGCATAGACTGTTTTGGTGATGTCTCAGTCTGTAGCCCTGTCTGTCTTGGAAATAGCTGTGTAGACCAGGCTGTCCTTGAACGCATGGAGGTCCATGTACTTCTGCCGCCTGGGTGATGGGATTAAAGGCCTGTGCTACCACACCTGACCCTTAGTAGTTTTTAGTAAATATTTGTTTAATGAATGAATCTGGTGATGTCTGAGGATTAACATTCTGGTTTTCTACGTATCTTCTAGGCCATGTTTCCCAGAGATAACTTTTGTGCTTGGTCAGCCATATTCAAATCTGGACTCATTGAAATCATTACTAATCTCTTCTTGCTTGGCCTTACCCATCTATTTAATGAGTGTCTTCTGCAGCTGCACTATCTGGAAAATTTGCCATCAATTAGAAAATCATCTGGTGATTATTCTCTTAAAATGTATTTGGACTTCATGTCTGTTTCCTCATCTTCCTGTATTTCTTTGTTTGCAAATAGTAGCTTATTTTTGTTCTTTTTTTCCCTCTGCAAGTGACTGATTGCCTGGTCACATGATGTTTTGCCCCTTCTGAATTTCTAATTTTAGTTGCTCATCTCTTGAGTCCAAAGTATTTTTACTGGTGATTTTCATTAGTGCCATTTCAGCTTTGTCTGTCACTGGTGGTTGTGAAAATCTGGGATGTCAGATCTCTTTACTAGTCCTCCTGGGACACTTATCTGAAACCCCTTATCCCATGAAGGAAAACCAAATGTTTCGCCACCAAAATGGTGTCCCTCCTTGCAGTTTAGGAAAACTTAAAACTTTTTTTTTTCATGCTGGGCATGTTATCACACCCCTATAATTCTAGCACTTGGGAACTGGTGGCAGGAGGATCTGGAAAGAGTTCAAGGCCAGCCTTAATGACTTTGAGTTTTAGACTAGTTTGAATTACCTGAGACCATGTCTCAAAAACCAAAAATTCAGTTCTTAATTTTTTTTTTTTTTTTTTGTCTTTTTGAGACAGGGTCTGCCTGTAGTCCCAGCTACCTGAACTCACTATGTAGACCAGGCTGGCCTTGAACTCAAGGAGATCCGCCTGCCTCTGCCTGGGACTAAAGGTGTGCGCCACACCTGGCCAGTTTTTAATTTTTAAAAATTAGAGTCTTGGGCCAGGTGTGGTGGCTCATGCCTTTAATTCTAGCTGAGGCAGGTGGACTCTGTGAGATAGTGCACAGCCTGGTCTGCATAGTTCCAGGAGAGCTGGGTCTACAGGGAGACCCTGTATCAAAAAACAGCAGATAAAGTCTCACTAACTTATGCAGGTTGGCCTTGAACTTGTTACCCTCTTATCTATTTTTATTTTTATTTTTTGGTCTTTTTGAGACAGGGTCTCCCTAAAGCTCCAGCTGGTCTGGAACTCACTATGTAGACCAGGCTGGCCTTGAACTCACAGGGATCTGTCTGCCTCTGCCTCCAAATACCATCCTCTTATCTAAATTCTTCTGAGTAGCTATGAACAGGCCTGAGCCAGCAGACCTGCTTAGAATTAAAAAAAAAATTAGTATCTAGAATTAGTTGCTATGTTAAAATGTTGGTACAGTGTCACCTAAAATGAACCTCTGACTTGGGCTCTGTTGCTCATTTTTTTTTTTTTTTTTTAGCACCTGCTTTAACACATCATTTTCTCAAAAGCTATTTATTTCCACCTGCCATTTTAATTCTGCTG